TGTGCAAGAACTGAAGCTGCTCGATCTTCCCAAACGATATGGCTTCGCTCTATAGGCTCTTAAAAAGTTCCAAAGAGATCCGACTTATTCGAGCCAAATTTTGTTCAGCGAGGGGGCCCATTTCCTGCTCAATGAGTATGCAAATAAGCAAAATTACGGCATTTAGGACGAAGAGCAACCTAACGAGATTCAAGAGCTACCATTTCGTCCAGAAAAAACAACGGTTTGGTGTGGTTTGTGGGCCGGTGGAATTATCGGTCCATATTCTTTCAAAAATGATGCCGGTGAGAACGCAACCATCAATGGCGACCGTTATCGTGCCAACATAACCGACTATTTAATGCCTGAAAATGAAGCTCGTGATCTCGGCGACATTTGGTTTCAACAAGACGCAAGACAAGAAACTTCCCACACATCGCATCAACCAATAGGGATTTTGAGATAACACTTCAGTGAGCAGATAATTTCACGTTTTGGGCCGGTCGATTCGCCACCAAGATCGTGGGATATCACATCGTTAGACTCTTTTCTGTGGAGATATGTAAAGTCTAAAGTCTATGCGGACAATCCCGCTTAGAATCAGGCCTTGGAGCAAAACATCACGCGTGTCATTTGTAAGTTACCAGTCGAAATGCTCAACGGATGAACCATCTAAGACGTAGCCGCGGCCAACATTTGAAAGAGATAATGTTAAAAAAATAAATAATATTAATACTTTTTTTTCATTTATTGTAAGACCCATATACTTTGCACCTCTTTTTATTTGCACATCTATATGGCAGATGTCGCAAAGATGTCTATATCTTTATCTGTCTATATCTAAATTTTAAACTTTCAAATCCATACATATATAAAAAAGTAAAAAATCAAAAACATGAAATGGAAAGCGAAAAATAACAAAGAATGTGCAAAGCGAATCCAACGGAAATACTCTGCTAGACTTCGCAGAGAGGGTTGTGTGTTTAAATCTAAGACAAAGCAAAACCTGAAAGTATAAAAAACATGTAAGGAAGTTCTAAGTTCGGGTTTAACCGAACATTTTATACTTTTGCCACTTGCTAGAATCAAAGCCCGGAAAATTCCTTCAGTTGCTGGCAAAACTGTATCTTAAAAAGTGTAGCGAAAGAATTAAACATTCATTATATGAGATATATGTATGTGATATTAACTTAACTTTATCCATTTTAGTCACAGAGATACACTGTTATGATTAAAACACACTCTCTAAATTTCATTGAGATAACGGTCAATTGGCCAATATATGCAGTATAAAGTCACCCGGAAGTTCAAAGATCTTTATATTAGGTATATGGAGCTATGGAAAATATTGACCCGATTCAACCAATTCATGATACACAGACAAAGTATTATTAGGAAAGGATCCTCTTTGAATTTCAATTATGTATATACACATATTGCTTAATATTTTCGGTAAAAAGTCAACTAAATGTACTGTCCAATTTTGGTTTTGGCTCCTATACAGATTAATGGTATCATACTTCGCGTAAAATTCAACGTCTCTGACTTGTTTATTTAATGAGTTATCGCACTTTCAGTACTTTTAATTAAAATCGGTTTATGGATAGTGGGCGGCACACTGTCGATAGGAGTACTAAAAATATTTGTCCTGAGTGAATTTGGTTATTCTTTCTTTTGCGGCTTAAGAGATATGCACATTAAACCTATTAGAGGCCTGAATCACGCCCACTTGAAAAAAAATGTAAATGAAGATGCCCTCCAAATGTGATTCGTTATATCAAATAACAATCTTGTATCGCAATGTGGAGGTTAGTTATTGAAATTTATTGGTTTTCGATAAATTAAATTTTTTGTGGACGTGTCAATGGTCCGATTACGTCCATTTGCAATACCAACCGTCTTACCCAGAAACATGTGTACCAAGCTTCATTAGGATATCTCAACTTTTACTCAAGTTACAGCTTGCACAGACTATTTATAACCCTATATCTAACTCGACTAGTTTTGACAACCGTTAGGTGAACAAAACTATTATACACTCTGTAGCAACATGTTACAAGTATAAAAATTTGTAACGAATGGGTAAACGATGTTAAGTCCCTTTCTACATCAAACCGAGAAATTCAATCAGTCCGCTACTGAAAATATAACCTTCAATTGCTTCATATTTGTTTATTCAATAAGAAAAAACTATAATTCTTAATTTTTTTGATAGATAAAGTACAGTATCTAATTTTCTCCTGACAAAGCTTCTTATACAATAAATTCATGTAGTGAATGTTATGTTGTTGCTATAGATAGGTTACATCACATTAAGCATTCACCAAAGCTTGACGAAAGTAATAATCCCCAAGCCAAATTTTACAGAAAGAAATCAAATGTATTGTGCTTACCTGCTAGTGAATGAAAATATGGACAATACAATGTAGCTGTGCATATTGGTTCTCCGTTATATTTCGATTAGCATAACTGTATTTGAGCCGAACACATAAATACATCAAATTCAAATTGAATTTCAAAGCAAAGCTCTTTGGCAATCTGTTTGTTTTGCAATGTGCACAGCTGAAAAGAATGAATCGACAACAGTTATAATGATTGAAAATATTTAATTTACACAACCGTAAGGTAAAGTTATTTTCATGTTACCAATCCTTCCTCGAAAACTGATAAACAAGAACTTCCATTGCACTGAAATTAGCTGAATAAGAATGGGATGATAAGTGATCTTTGATTTTCTAGAATAATAAAGCTACATACATATATGTAAGTAAATAAAATAATTCACTAATTAAAGTTCCAATTGGTATACATTAATTGTCAGACCAGTTCATTGTACCAAATTTTCCGTTAATTCGAGTATTTACTTTGTGAGGTACGTTTTTCAATATATGTAAACGAGTAAAGTAACCGAAAATTGCATTGTTTATTGAATTATTTGTTAAAAAAAGAAACAATTCAAAGCACTTATGAATGTTACTTCAAAGGAAATAATGTTCTTAAAAATCAAAATCATGAGATTAATTTATTTGTATATCAGTAAAATAAGTTTCTATTCTACATATTTAAAAAATTTATGAACCATCGTTTGCTTCGTTGGAATACGAAGATTACATTTGATGGCCTGAAGTTCAGTCAATAAGTTTTATGAATTCGAAATTTTTTTGCTTTGCCCACTGCATACATTGTTCCAAGATTTTCTGCATGAAACTTTGTTCAACTCATTTATTCAATTGCTGACTAAGAATTGAAGTCGAAAATGTTAAAAAGAAGTATTTATTTGAAAAGGTCTGAGCATACAATTTAACGTTATTTACATTTGGAAAAGGGGAACTCAAGAATCTAATTCTCTTCAACATAATTAGGAAAGAAATACAAAACATAAAGAAATATTAATATAGTAATTGTTTCTTTTGAATTTTTTCATGTCCTGTTTTGTATTCTGTTTTCAGCAATCATTTTTTTTTTCAAATTTTTCTACATACATATAAGTATGTATATGTCTTCTTCATGTTGTTTGTTAAACCGAGTATTGACAAATTCCCGTTGTTCGTTACTTAAGGCACTCAATATAAAAAATTTGCTATGTTCGTTTTCGTTAAAACGAATATTTGTTATTTCAGAATACTACTGTAATTACAAAAGATGACATGCACATTACAATTCATCTCTATGTGTATTTATATATATGCATAAGCTTTAAGCTACAATAAGCAAAAATATACAAATAAAATAGTTTCAATGCCAAGTTTATCTTCGCGCCTAAAAATTATAGGGCATTGCCAAGTTCCCGTTCAGGAGGCATTGCTTTCATATCTATAAAAAATTCAAGCTTTATGTATATACATATGTGTAAAAAGAGAAATTCACGTCACGGCTTTTTTATATTTAAGACTCATTCACAGCTTTATTTTTATGCGTCTCTCTTACCAGATAATTTTAAAGAAAGCATATCACGACACCAAAGGGTGAAACTAAGAAATCGAAAGTAAAAGTGGAAAGCGGAACAAGAAAAAAAAGTAAATATATTTTTTACTTTAATAAAACTGAATGAAATAATAAATATAACCTGAAGACTTGTAGGTAGATATGCTGAAAAAAAGCTCTTTGTTCATATAGTGTCACCCATATGCATTTGCACCATACACATACTGTGAGCTGTGTGTAATAGTATGTATGTTTGAACTTTACTGGCACTCTTGAAGCGACTTCAAGTTCGCAGGCTTTATATATACTACACCTTGCAGCATCTTACAAATCTGCCGGCAACATTCACCACTATTCCATTTTCTGCCAGTTATTTGATATGAGAAGTACAAAAACATTATATATGTGTATGACAATGACGACAAGTATAAATGTGTACATGCATATACGCATACTAAAAAGTCATATGAGCGAATGCTCCTATGTAAATGTGAGAATTTTTGTCTAAATATTCGTATAACAACAAAAGTTACTTAAATACTCTTAACATACATACATAGGTAAGCCATTAATATATATATGTATCTACAGATATATGTGTACGCCGAAATTGAAACACGTATTCAACTCCCTCATATGTATATAAACAAGGGAAGTCATATGTGATAGTGTTAGACACCTATATAGGATCTTTGATATGGATACACAGATATATGTTTGTACCTCAGGCATACAGCATACATAGAATGCTGAGGCAGCTATACTAGATGTCCTGCTTACACGTACCTGTGTATTGAAGAAACCGAAAAAAGCGTTTGGCGCTTATAGGCTTCATGTGTGTTTCTGGTTTTCTGCTACCTATTTGTTAAGGGTTGAAAGTATATGGAGGCGTGGCTTCACATATGTGGCATATGAATTATAACGGAGAGATGGAAAAGTCTACAAATATGTCCCAACAAATTTCGGAGCTGGTTTGTGTCCTTACTTAAAAATAATAACAGCCCTGCACTGAAATGAAATCGAACTAGTCAAATAAATACTATGTATATGACAACTAAAAAGCGGAGACGAAGATTGAACAAAAAACTAAAACTACACCGAAATATAATAAAACGGTTAGTCAAGAGTAATTTTATTTGAATATAACGTTTTTATACAATTTATTGTACATGTTTAATATATGTGTATATAGTATTTTTTTCTTCTAACGGTAATTTATAATACCAAAACTAATTCTTATAGATATATTATTATATATCATTAAGACTAGCATGAATAGATGAATTTAATTGTGTGTGTCTGATAAATATATCATATCTTATGGGGGAATGGGCATTATTCCTGAAACAATGACTAAATCGCCAGTTAACACTAGAACTACGAAGATTTACCATATACATATTTCAAATAGGTCTCTTTCTCTTTCTGAAAATTAGAAGCGTAAGAACAAAATAATCTATAATATTATTATATACACAAGTTTAATAAAAATCATGACATTATTGTAAAATATTAAATAGAAATAAAGAGGAAATGGTATAAATGAATGATGCAACCAGTCATTTTGACCGGTTCGTAGTTCTAGTGTTAATCTACAGAATTTAGGTATGCTGTTGGAGATCCATTAATACATGCTCGGCTCATTAGAAAGATACCTCAATAAAATTATACGTGAATATTAATGTATATACATTATCATATTGTGGTTATTTACCATCATACAGCGGAATCGGTCCATTACTGCTTCAATCCCATTATCAGTAAAAACATTATAAACTTTATTGTTCTCTTTTTAATAGTTTTCAACATTGTTAAATAGTTTTTGAGATACGTAACAGTTATGTGAACGTTCATCAATTTTTTTTGCATTAAAAAAACTAACTTAAATGGTAACTGAGTTTTCTCGATCAAATCCATTTTATGGGGATAGCAGTGGTCAGTGTCCGGTCATCTACAATACCAACCATAGCAAGTTAACGCTTGCAGGGGCATACAAACAACTGGAAACTAATTCGTCTCGTCATGCTAATCATGGTCATTACTTGATATATATAGCACAATATATATCTTGTTTAATTTTAGATAAGAGTTAACTTAAGTAATATCATATTCAACTGTTCGACTGAATTTGGCATATACTTAAACATTTAAAATTTTTTACAAAGAGTGGACCTCAATCATGTAGAAGTGAGAAAACGCATCGGACTTACGCATGACATAAAGGTCGTGTCCATAAAACTTAATTATGTATGTACACATCTACGCATATTTGAATAAAGAATATTTATTCATTTTAGATCTTCACATTTTAAAGTCCGCCAAACATTGAACGCTGAAGAAAAATACAAGTTAGTGAACTGTTTACTGAAAAAATAAATATGAAATAGCGAATCCAGAGAACGATTTTGAATATTCAAACAAGGCATTCAACAAGAATCAGTATATCGAAGAAAACTCGAAGGAATTGTGGTGTTACTGTTAATAACAGGTCACTTTTCCGAAGACATGGCTGAACTGATAAACATTGATCATAATATCACTTCTAGTGTTATATTTATAATATTCTACTAGATTATATTTAGATGATTATACTAAATTTTATTTTTATTACTATACTAAAAATATTTTATGTTGATATTAATAATTAAGACGATTTAGAAACCATGCGCACTAAATTTCCTTCCGCATTGTCCTCTCCCCAAACGCCTAACTTGAATTTTATGTTTTTATCGAAATAGTTTCATTCGAAGAAAGGAAAAAGGAAACTTCTCTATTCAGAGTTAGGTTGTATGGGGATTTTCGTTACTTCAACTTTTTATTCTACTGTGTTTTTTATTTCTTCACGGAAAAAAAAATTTTGAGTCTTCCGGATACCTATCCAGTCCGTAAAGGGCATTATAGCCATTGCTCTATAGTGGAGAACCTGCCGGAGTTGTAAGTTAATTTCAAGCTGCACCTTGTGCGTAACGAGGGGTTCCTAAAGACCAACACTTCAGAAGGGGTTGATAGTGATGAGCTTCATACCACATTTCTCGAGTTTGTTGATGGTAGCGCTGTTCTCCACAGTCGAGTTCTATATATATATAGATATAGAATTCAAGGTTAATCAAGAATGAACTGGGACACATACCTATGTGACTCGACTGGGTCACTGCTCTCTCTCTCTCTCTAATGACGACAATTATGATTGATAAATTCCGGGTCAATTCCGGTAACGTAGAACCGGCTGTTGTAGAAATTTTGGGCGGCTTCCACCACAGAAAAACCATGGATGAATGAGGAACTAAAAAACCTTCGATGAAATTCTCGCAAAGCCTTCTACAAGGCTAACCGTTTTAATAGAAAAGTTGGAATTAGATCAAATTTCGTGAACATAAATACAAACTCAGAATAGCAAAACGTCATTTGTGGCGTTCAAGTAGATAGCGTATGTGGAACGGCAAAAACTAAAAGATTTGTATCGAAAGACCACATAGACGATGCATCAACGGTTGATAGCCAAAGTCGAAGAACATTTAACATTGAGGATTCCATTAAAATAAGTATTATAATATACACATTTCCACGGCCTAATGGGAAACATTCTCAAGCTGTCAGACTACCCAGCCTGTCAGAAATGGTAGAAATAGTATTCCAAAGATGATTTTAAGAAGAGCCATTAGATTTAAGTAATCACGACCATTTATCGTATGCGCAACATATCATTTTTAGCCCCAAAATTTACGTCATTGTAATAGAATTCAAACTAATGTCCATTTTTATATTTATTCACCCTTTTTGGGAGCAGTAACTGAATTGAACTATTTTTCGTTTAAAAATTTTCAGGTGCTAATTATCTGTCTAATCTCCACTTTTTAGGTTGGCAACATCCATGAAACTTCGTCTGAAATTGATTGTAGTTCGTAATACCAAAAAAAAGTTCAATTGATCTGAAGTAGAATTACTTTAACTTCGTTTCAACTTAGTGGAGAGTAATAGAGCTATTAAATGGTTTATTTAGCTATTTTCCAACTCTTCAACTACAACAGCTTGGTTTGATATTCTAGTTATCCGCACTGGCAATGTTAAAAACCACAATAAAGTTGAAGTTCGACAATATTTCAACCGAATAATTTTTTGACGGGTGAGTTGATATCGAAAATACCCAGTTTCAAAATTTCAACCAATATTCAGTTGACTTTGAAACCGTAGTACCCGCTTAAGTGACATTGTAGGGGCCGTCATAGGGCACCTAAGTCTAAGTTCCCTCCTTGAAAATATTGGTAAAATGGTTTTGGCAGAATGCAGAGCATGCACGGAGATTGATGTGACGCTAAACATTTACTTTCCGAATACTCAGCCTTCAGCCGGTTGTGGCGGGACATATACCACGGCTCCCAATGTTCCAATTTAAAAGACATTGGTTAGTGGGGTGGAAAATATAAGGTATTTTATCAAATCGGCTGAACTGCTGGATGAGGCTTAATTTAATACCACTTAACAGCACAAAGGGCGTAATGATAGCTTAAGTGCGACCACCTTTAATCTGGCGCTCCTTCGCCAGCATTTTCAATCAACCAACGAACCATTAAAGTATATTTCATTCATGGTATATCCTACTATCAGATGTCTCCAGATTGCATACGTACGTATACAACTGTTTAAATAAAAAAATTTTTTTTTTTGGATTTCTATATTTAATCATAAGTTGATTAATTTAGGCACATACAAATATAGCTTACCTATACAGTTACATACAGTCAGACAGGCTGAATATTCCACACACAAACTTTATACTTTGTAGTCGTTATTTTGGACAAAGACTTTTATGTAACTGCATTGGTAGTTCTTAAATTTGTAAATCTTTAATCTAGTTTATGAAACAATACATTCAATTTATAAGATTATAATGTGGATTAAAATTAATGGCACTTTTCAAAAGTAAGAATAAAATAAGTACTTGATTTCCTAAGCAATAAGTAATAATAATCTAAATAGTTTTCTTTAACCAGAAATTAAAGTTTTTTATACTATCACAGTCTTATTGTTACACAGTTTGAGGCAAGTTACTTAAAAATAGTTATAGTATAGTTTCATCTCCATGACATTCCAGATAAATTTGCTGTGGCCTTATTTGATAATGATTTTTGTGCAAATGATTGGAATTGTGAATATTTTGTGTGATAATTTGATTGTGGGAGTATTTCGCTATTTGGTTCATTGAAATACTACCTGGAACACGTTGTTGTGAATATAGATTTACTGGTGGTTGTACACTTTGATAAGATGTTGTCCTGCAATTATAGTTCTTATTACGATTACTTCCTTGGGAATTTCGAAGCTCTAACTGTTGCTTATACAATACAGATATTTTTGGACCTATAACCCATGCAAAACATATAATTCCCAATGTTATTTCCATAAATGCCCGAGTCATGAAAGGCCACATTGGTGTTGTAAATCCCTCGTTTGAAACGAAATAATGTGGTATATTAAGCCAAATATCAATGTTGACAAATTCGTAGATCACAGAAATCAAAAGAAATGCACAAGGAATACAATATATGAACAGGAACGTTCCAAAATCATAGCTTGGACACTTAGCCTCTAATTGTTGCTTCACCATGGGTGTTGGAGGGTTTTTCAATAAAACTTTATAGCGACGATATACTAAATAACCCGAGCCGAGATTCATGGAACCGAAAATCCAATAACAAAAAAGTGGTGTTGCGACCAATATTTGCAGGGCTCTATCTGACTGGTTTCCAACGAAACAAGCACCTGTAAGATATATAAACAATATTATAAATCTTTTAAAAAGAATAACGGAATCATTTACCTATAAGTTCGTCAGCATCCACAAGTCTCGCTACTATTACTGCTGCAGTCTGAAATGCTGGAAGTCCCCAAGCTATAAAGCTTGCCAAATTGCTTTGCATTATAGTCAAGTTGACATTACGTTTATCACTACTTGTTAAACGCCTTCTTCTAATTTCACACTGATTCACGTCAGTAAATGTACCTGAATTGCCTGCGGACAAGGGTATCAAATCTTCTGGGTTGATACGACGCACATCCCGATGCCATGTAAGGCAAAGTATTGCCCACCTTATTGATAACTTTCTTATTAGAAATTAACAAAAATATTTCAAACTATCTTACCAAGCACATGAAGACATAAAAAAATAGTACCGGAGCAAGAAAGTTGTTGCGCATGGAGCATTTGAAAGTCCATCAACCAGTAGAAGAAGAACATTCGGGAGTTGTGGATCATATCCACAGGATGCTGCCGTTCTACCCACTATAAAGCGAACAGTCCACCCTAAGGCTACCATGAAGTGGCACCACACAAAAGGGGTAAGCACGCTTATCCACTTCTGATTATTTTTCCTTTTTGAACTATCATTTAAAATGAGGCTCAATGTTGCAATTAATGCCATGAAAACTTCGGCATATGTCCATGTGGCAACCCATAGCTCTGCCAAATGTTTATCATGTTGACCAAATAATATGTCAGCTTCGCATAAAGGAGCACACCTTCCATACCGATACAGTTTTACATACATATGAGATTTAGATAGGCCAGGACATTCCAATATTGCAGAGGAAGGCGCTTTATTTGTTACCGCTTCCGAAAAGTTATCCTTATCTCTTATATTTATTTGTTTCTCACCTGGTCCTTCAATACACATTGTTTCATGATTGTTTTCTTGTGGAAATCTATTACAGTCTAGTGCGGGAGGCCACGGAAACCCAAACCCTTGTAAAACCGGGTTACACCGCATCCTAACGCTTTCACATAAGTTTCTGCATGGTCCAATGGGAAGAGGGACTTTCGGTGTACATAACGGAACGTAGGCAGCGCATAAAAATAATTTTAGTTGGATACTGCACACATACTCAATAAGAGGAGCAAAGGTTTGTAAGGTATATTCTACATCAGATTGAAGTTCATGGCCAACTAAGTTAGGCATAGACGTTTCGTTATAACCAATGCCGCGACACATATCGATACGAATTGGTTCACATTGTCGAAAAGCAAAAGATTCGCTACTTGTTGAACAAACTATTAGACCAAATATATATAGGTATTTCCAATAACGCAATATAACAGACATTATAAATTTTTACCGAAAAAATTTATATTATTTTTTTGACATCATGTGAATTCAGCAAATTAACGAAGAAAAGTGAATTTATATATCTATACATGTAAATATGTTTCCACGGTTATAATTTGTATGTTAAAATATATTCGTTTTGATGAATACGTATTTTCATTTTTATTCACAATAACTTTTTCCTTACAGATACAAGTTTTATTGCTAACAATAAAATTATTACATTAAAATAGGTGTATTGAAAGAAATTCCAAAGCAGATAAAATTTGTGTATTCTCCATACTATATTCGATATAATTTAATCGATTATACTTTGATTGCCAAGTTACTAAAAATACAAAGAATATCTTTAAAACCCCATTCTAAGATTTCCAAATTAAAATGGATATGAGGGGATTGAGGATGTTCTGCAGATCAAGAATATATTTGTTCAGCCATTAACATTAAACATTTTATTCAAAGAGTATAAATGTATAGCTTATTGTAACTTTGAAATAATTTAATAAAACTTTTTTTTATAAGCGCAACCATTCAATATAATATAATATATAAGACATTATTAGTTTTTCGCGTAGAAGTCCTATTTGAGTTGGCGATGTTGTTGATGGGTGGTGAGCTATAGTTTAGTTGTAGTCGTGGTCATCTAACTGGAGGCCCAGTTGTATCGGGGGGACTTATTTCATGCAGGACATATATTTGGGTATGTCGGGGTCTACTCTGGATAAGTAGGAGTTTAAGCTTGCTACAGTATCCAGAACGAAGTTGCGCAATTATCACTCTAGATTGACAAAGCAACTCGAGCTCTACGTCTTTAATGGGTAGTGGTTTGACTACCTAGCAAGCCATTCACTGAGAGGGAGTCGATGAAGGTGTTAATAGCCCCACTGGCGGTCCGTGCTTGTCTATAGTTCGTTGCGTCCGAAGTCTGGTCGGCGTACTGTCTTATGTCAACGACGTAATCAAGGAAGGACATCTTGATGTTCCTAGGAGGCGGTTCCGCTTCAAGCAGACGACTGCAGGGGTGGTTTCTACGAAAACAATGTCTATCTATCACTATGCAGGTGTTCGATTGTGGACATCAAGAGGCATCCCGTGATAGTCCGGAGTGTTTTGACAAGTCTGAAGCTTCTTCGTCTACGTTGAACTACATCCAGGCGACCATATTGAAGCAGCATAGTTTAACACTGGCCGGCCGATTGCCTTGTAAGTTGCCAGTAACGTTTCGTTGGCTTTTCCCCAAGAGCTGCCGGCAAGCGATTTGACGATTTTTTTGCGGATATGTACTTTGGCAGTTATCGCGGTAGTGTGAGGAGTGAAGGAGCACAGGCTGAGAAGAAGCAAGAAAGTTCGGAGTGATAGCCGTTTACTTTCGAGCACATGCCATCGATTACATTGCCCGACGTCAATATCGTGCAGTTTTCAGCGTACCAGGACATGGAAACACCCTCTGGTGGCTGAAGGAGTTTCGAAATACAGAAATTAAACAGTAGCGGGTAGTCCCAGCGGAATCCCTGTTTAATTCTTCTAAGTTTGGAGTTTTCACCTCGAAACAGTACGGATGAATGTCGACCGCTCAGGTGGTTCTTAGTCCACCGCTTCAGCTCTGAAGGGAGCGTGGATTGTTCTATACCCTCAAGTAGCGTTATGTGGTTGATTGTGTCAAAACTTTTGACAAGTCCAACGCTACGAGGATCGTCCTCCTTGCGGAAGCCATGCTGAAGGTCTGCTAGACTCAGGTGGTGAGTAAATGTTGGGAGTAGCTAGGTCTCAAGTGTCTTCACTACTGGTGGGAGAGGAGTTATCGGACGATAATACTCTCCTTTGTGGGCAGGTTTCCCAGGTTTCAGTAGTGGGTCCACTCTTCGACTTTCCACACTTCGGGTATTTGAAGAGTGGTCATCGACAATTGAGAACCTTGGTGAGATAGCTTACTCCCGTCGAGGCCGAGGTTTTTTAGCATAACATTCTTATTTCGTCAGGGCCAATGGGTTTGGACGATTTGGCTTTGTTGATGGCACTCTGCACCTCCCCATCGGTGAAAGTTAGTGGTGTGCGTTCTTTTGGCATTTTGCGCAGCCGTCGATTAACACATCGTTTGGTCTTGTCAGCCGAAGGGTGCAGTATAAATTGTGGGCTAAAATACCCTCCGCACTTCTTCGGGTCCGAGGAGGCATGGCCATCGAATTGAATTTCAACTCGGTCATGTCTCCTCGGATTAGACAAGGCCTTGACAGTAGTCCAAAGCTTACGCACACCGGTGGAAAGGTTGCCGGACTTCAGATGCTCTATCCATTTTTTCCGCTTATGTTGATTTATCATTTGCCGAATCTCCAAATTGAGATCCCTTATCCAGGGATTACAGGGATCAGCAACCAGCTCCATCCCCCAATGATCGTTTGATATGATCGTATATATAGACGATATTGCACAGTGTTGTGCAGTCTGAAGGTTAGACCTCCACCAAATTCTTGCTCGCGATCTTTACGTAAAACGTTGAAACCTGCAGCCTGGAACACAGAAAGGGACATCAGAACTGACACACAGAACAGACTGTGCGAGGAACCAGGAAATGCTGGGTGGTTCTCGGACGAAGATTGGAGCGGGATGAAGGTTGGGAGGGATCGGGCAGGCAAGGAGTCATGCTGCCTGTGTGAGCTCCTTAAGGCCGTGGAGGTCCTTTTATAGCCACTCAACTGGAGAGGCGGCGCAGTGCCCGAACATGGTGCATGTTGCAGGGCCACATAACTCGTGGTCCACTCCCTATGAGCCTTAAGGCTTGAACAGGTCTTAAGATGGCTCCATTCATGGCATGTGTTGCACCTAACCAAGCAACAGAAGAATTCCTCGGGGCCCAAGTTGGGCTCGATGCCGGCACGGATCAGGAGGATACGGAGCAACCCTGCTGCTTGGCGTTGCTCTAAGGACGACAAACTTAAACTAAAACTCACTTCGACCGCACTTCAAAAAAATAATCCTTTACGGTCCAACTTATTGTCCATATTCAATTATGGTTTCTGTATTTGGGTAATAATATTTCTTTTTGCTTTTTTTTTTCGTTTGCGAAATATATTATTATGGTAGCACTGGGTATTAGTCAGTGTGCAACCGTTTTGTTATTGTGTGAATAAATAGAATTGAACAATAAGTTAAATATTGAATGAAAGATATTTTTTCACTATACAATGTGAAATCAATGTGTACCAACGAATAAATGAAG